CCTCTTTCCCTTTCCCTTTCCCTTCCCTTTCCCTTTCCCTTTCCCTTCCCTTTCCCTTTCCCTTCCCCTTTCCCTTTCCCTTCCTCTTCCCCTTCCCCTTCCCCTTCCCCTTCCCCTTTCCCTTTCCCTTCCCCTTTCCCTTTCCCTTTCCCTTTTTCTTCCCTTCCCTTTCCCTTCCTTTTCCCTTTCCCTTTCCCTTCCCTTCCCTTCCCTTTCTCTTTCTTCCTTTTTTCCTTCCTTCTTTTTCTTCTTCTTTTTCCTCCTCTTTCTCTCCCCCACCACTTTCTCTCAGTGACTACAGTACAGAAAAATGACAGAGAAAATGACAGATGATAGAGGAGAAAGTGATGCTCCAAGAGATACAAGACTATCCAAAGAGAAGAGGAGAGAAGAAAATTGACAAAGGAAAAGAAAACTTAGTCTCTTCCCATTCTGTCAGCAAGAAAAGTATTCTGTAAATTACCTGTTTTTGCAAAGAGACAGAAAACACTGCATATGGCCAATGGTTGCTGTTGGTTAAAGAGACCTAGCAGGGAGGAGTGAAGACAGCAGTGCTATCCCTGAGGTGAAGTCATGGTGGAGGAGTCAGCATGTGGGGAAGAAGGATAGTCAGTTTATATAACATTGGAAAACTAATGATTGAGTTAAAGTTAAAACTTGACTTTCAATTAAAAGTTTTTATCTAGTTCCGCTTGTATTTCTAGCATCCTGAGAGTACTGGCAAAAAGGACATTTGGGGATATCCTCCTAGCCACATGAAACTAAAATATCATCTTGGTAGATTTATTGGAAGTTGTACTAAGAGACATTCCATAGTTTTATAAAACTCAGACCTCACTGTATATGAGTCACACAGACTCACTTAGCAGAGGTAGCATTCTCTTAAGGGTGACAGCCTGGATTGCACTCAGGCCACAGGCATAAACATATTTGATTCGGACACAGCATGGTTTACTCTTGAATTTAAAGTTTTAATTTGAATGTTTCTTTAGCCATGAATAAACGCCCCAAATCTAGTGTGTGCAAGCATATGGCAATGTCTCACACAAGTTTTCAGTCTCTCACAGGCTCTGAGAGTTGGTAACAATAAAAACAACAACTTCTTGGTGTTTTTAATGGTTTACACAATTCTTTCACATATATTATTTCTTAAGACTTTTATAATAATGCTATGTGGTAAGCATAGCAGGGAATATAATTATCCCCCTTTGATAGTTGTGGGAAATGTGGCCCAGGCTAGTTAACCAGCCAGCCCAAGGTCATGTCATGGGTTGTTGATGGGGCCAGACAACAGATCCAGATTGCAGCTGTCAGTTGTTCAAATCATTCCACCATGGTGCTGTGACAGGGCTCTGTTGTTCAGCCTCCTCTTGAGAATAAATTTAAAAATCTTTAAATCACAAAGACCGTATGTACTTACCTTCAGCAATAACATCAGACCAGGAAACTAGGAAAGATGTGAAAGACTACACTGCTAGGCTTTAGGAGTGATTGTGGTGGAGGCAGCTCGGAAGATACAAAGAAACCATCATTCTCAGCAAACTAACACAAGGACAGAAAAACAAATGCCCCATGTTCTCACTCATAAGTGGGAGTTGAACGATGAGAACAATGGACACAGGGAGGGGATCATCAATGGGATCTGTCAGGGGGTTAGGGGTTAAGGGAGGCATAGCATTAGGAGAAATACCTAATGTAGATGACAGAGTGATGGATACAGCAAACCACCATGGCACGTGTATATCTATGTAACAAACCTGAACATTCTGCAGATGTACTCCAGAACTTAAAGTATAATAATTTTAAAAAAAGAAGATACAAGGAAAATAAACTGAAGCTCTCACCTGGCACAGGGAGAAAGGAAAGTTCTGGTGCCTGCCTGAGCTAAAAAGATCACTGAATCATCTGCACACATTGGAAGACAGAAAAATAGTTTTAATGGTTATGATTGGCTAGCAACTGGTATCATTAAGAAAACGTCTAGACTACCCTGTTCTCAACCCAATGCCACCTCCTTTCAGCTATGTTGCCAGTTTCCATTACCTCATACAGGTTTGAGGTTGGTTCTGCACCAGAAGTGGTTGTTACCTTAATAGAAACACCGGATTCCTTCCCAGCATGAGTATGATGTCTGTTGATGATGCCATGACTTAGTTTGTTCTTGTAAGTGCTTGCGTTGGTAGGCTGATGTAATTGGGGTTGTGGATGTCAGTTTCCTAGTGCAGGAACACTAAAGAACTCCTGTGCCAAGGTTCTCTTACTTGCTTAGCTGCTTACTACTCTTAGTTCCCACCCAGCAAAATAACTCATGATCTTAAGAGTGCTGAACTACTGAAAAAATCTGGAGACAACAGATGCTGGAGAGGATGTGGAGAAATAGGAACACTTTTGCACTGTTGGTGGGAGTGTAAATTAGTTCAACCATTGTGGAAGACAGTGTGGCGATTCCTCAAGGACCTAGAAATAGAAATTCCATTTGACCCAGCAATCCCATTACTGGGTATATATCCAAAGGATTACAAATCGTTCTACTATAAGGACACGTGTACACGAATGTTCATTGCAGCACTGTTTACAATAGCAAAGACCTGGAACCAACCCAAATGCCCATCGACGATAGACTGGATAGGGAAAATGTGGCACATATACACCATGGAATATTATGCAGCCATCAAAAACGATCAGTTTGTGTCCTTTGTAGGGACATGGATGAACCTGGAAACCATCATTCTCAGCAAACTGACAGAAGACCAGAAGATCAAACACCGCATGTTCTCACTCATAGGCGGGTGTTAAACAATGAGAACACATGGACACAGGGAGGGGAGCACTACACACTGGGGTCAGTTGGGGGGAAATAGGGAAGGGACGGTGGGGGGTGGGAAGCTGGGGAGAGATAGCAAGGGGAGAAATGCCAGATGTAGGTGATGGGGAGGAAGGCAGCAAATCACACTGCCACGTGTGTTCCTATGCAACAATTTTGCATGTTCTTCACATGTACCCCAAAACCTAAAATGCAATAAAATAAATAAATGGGAAAAAAAAAAGAAATAAAAAAAAAAAGAAAAAAAAAAAATAAATAATAATTAATTACATTTTTTTTCAACAAGTATTTACTGAGTGCTTACTATGTTCCAAGCACTGTTCAAAGGACATTATGTGTGTTTGTTCATTTAATTTTCACAACAGAATGAGATAGTTTCAGTTATTACGATCCCCATTCAGTAAATGGAGAAACTGAAGCAAGGAGAAGTTAATTTGCTAAGGTTACCTGCTAGTATTGG